ACAAACACGGGAAAGCTTGAGCAATATATCCTTCACATTTGAATTCATTGATAGGAACATTATCCATCTCAGGCCAATCTAATACATTTCTTATAGAATCATTTTGAGTTGGAACACATGCAGCAGGAACACAAGATTCAGTGACATTATCCTCACAAACATCATCAGATTCAAATTCAATACCAGCTTCCTCTTCATCCATGGAAGAACTCTGCATACTGGTGATAGCATCATACACATTGCCATCCACAGGCAAGCTGGAAACATTCTCTAAAGAAATTTCTATATCCTGATAATATTTATTATTTTTCTGCAACCACTTCAAAGCTTCTAAAACTTTAGAACCCCGAACATGAAATTCTTTTGGGGTCATGGCATTACTTGTCCGAACAGTAATAATATTGGCCAAATCACTGACTTTGTGAGGTAGAACTTTAGCAAAAGCTTTAACATTTTGAGGGAAATTTATAACATTACCAGAGTATGCCATCTGTTGTCCTTTAATCTTGTATAAAGAAACCACAGGGTGAATTCTGGCTATCAATTGTTCTTCAACATAAGATAATCCTTTTAAAATATCAGGCATCTCTCCTGGATCCATATTATTTTCCCTGCTCAAAGAGTTACATACATCGGGTGTATGAATACACTTTTTCTTCCTTCTGCCACGATGTAAAAACTTCTCATTGCAGTTATCACATGTTAACCAGACACCACCTCTCATGTGATCTTCAAATTTCTTCTGGTATGGATCAAAATAATTCACTGACACACATCTATTGACTGCACCATCATTAACTACATTTTCATCAACAACATCTAAAGAAGAATTAAAATAAATCAGCCCTGAATACAGAATCAAAATAGATATATGATACAAAACACTGCAAAATAATAAAACAGTTACCAATATCTATTATATTAGAATCCCAAACTGGAAACTTCAACATTTGTTCAGAAGACAGCTTAGACACAATATTATCAGTGGGCCTTGCATCAACACGTAATTTTTTACTTTCCTTACTATTGTTGAAATAACAGTTGGAATTAAAGTGTGAACTGCAGGCAAAGTATTTTTTACACAGCTCGCTACTTGGAACATTCAACAAAGCTTCATTACCAGAAGCCTCAGCCCATGCTCTCAACCTGAAGTTTGAAAGAAAACGACATCAGAAAACAACAATTAGTGTGCCTTCATACAACTTCACAACACAAAAACTTACTTTTCCACATTAACCATATCAACTTGGCCATTGCAATACAATTTTGGAAATTGATGAAGCACTCGATGACTACCATCAGATTCGCATCCAACGAAACAACATGAACGCCAAATATTTTTCCTCACAACACCTATCACATCATCATTTGGCGTTATTAAAGACACATAATTTGATTCAACACGGCTAGAACAAGAAACAGCTGCAACCACGAAAAACAGACATGTCAATTACTGTAATTCTTGTATAAACTCATCTTATAAATCATATAGACCACTTCTTAATACTTACAGCAACCACTACTAGCAGATACAACATTAACATTACGTAAACATTCATCATGACCTAACACACCCAACATTACTTCATCAGTAAACACATCAAGAAGGTTTTCAGTTGGTAAAGCATTAGCCTTCAAGCGGCTAATTTGTTTGTTGGAATAACTATCAGAACTAAAATGACCACCGCAAACAAATTTTGAGTCCAAAGATGCCAATGATAAAGACAACAAATCCTCATTCCCAGAGTTCTGCATCCACTTCAAACGCCTAAATCATACAATCTAATAATTAATATACCCAACAGGATTTTACCAATCACAAAATAAATCAATATGTTACCTTTCCTGGTTTTTTTCACCCTTGGGGAATGAATGAAATGGACCTTTCTTACAAATCATGTTTTCTAGACACATTTTATAGCAACACCTCCGCCACTGCAAGTTATTTGAACTTTCAATTGTGACATCACTTTCGGCAGAATTCACCACTTCACAAATAACATTTCTCCCTTCAACTACTTGATCACATAAATGTACTGTAAAACAAACCAGAAAATAAATTAAATAATGTAATTTAGGTATAACCAATTAACACTTGCTAATATAACAAAACAATCTTCAAAGTTCGTTGTAATATTATTAACACAGCTGCGTACTTGCATATATTTAAATTAATTTTCTTAACCATCGTCAAATACTATTCTGCCTGCACCAAACACCAAATCCACTCCTCGCATTCAAATAGTTCCAATAGAAACAATAACATATCACCACCACCCCCTCCACGATATATATATATATACTTCCACAGCAAACAGCAATAAAACAAAGTTTTTCAAATGCCTCTCATTTAAGACCAGCTTGCTTTTTAAAACCTCTTTGCACTGATTCCACTTTGACAGATCAGCTACACCACAACAAATACACCTGCTACACAAACATCTATACACTGCAAATTCAAATCTTAAACAAAAAACAATAAAAATTTAATACTTTCAACAGTCAACAATAAATAAAACAATACACTACCTACATAGCAATACACAAGAAAGCCAATACCATTCATAATAACGATTGGTTATTACAAACCATCTACTTTCCGCACTTTACTGTTAAAATCGGCACGCGTAGCAATCTTCCGCTTGTTAGACACTGCGTAACAAACCAAGAAATGACACGTTACTCGGATAACACAATGATGCTTAGTAAGATCATCAACATCAACAATTACATACTCACTTCTTTTAGATTCTACAACCAACACCTGTTTCAAAAACTTAAAAGGTTGACCTTGACCTTATTCGTCCAAGGCCACGACTACTACAACCTCATTTCATTTCAGTAAACCATATCAAGACACACTGCTACCAATTCACCGCATTCAACCTGATTCCCTTTCATTTTGCGACGCTTGCCCTGCTCAACCACACATTCACATTCATTCGGGTGGTTGGCTAACTTGACAACCACCTCGTCTCACGTCTCACGCCTGGCGCCTCACGCCAGCTTCCCGTCTGCCTCCCCTGGCGCTATCTTACAGGGCTGAGCATTTAAATCTAAATTTAAATTTGAATTTAAATTTAGCTCAGCCAACAATTTTTTGGTACAAAATATTTTTTTCGCGATTTAATTCACCGTTTGGTCGTTTCCACCTTGCACCACGTCCAACTTATATTCTCTCCATATCCAAAACCCTTCCACTCTCACAACTCCATCTACATTCTATTATTTTGCCCATGTCATCTCCCTTTTGTTTACAAACACCCAACTAATATTCTTGCGCCCCCCTTTCAATATCCGACACACTCCCACTCTCAGAACTCCTTCTTCATCCCATTATTTTGCCCATCGGAGCTTAGGCTGTTTTAAAAACGCCCAACTCATATTCTTGTACCCCCTTTCAATATTCACACACTCCCACTCTCACGCCTGCCTCTTCATCCTATTATTTTGCCCATCGCACCTTAGGCTGTTTTAAAAACGCCCAACTTATATTCTTGAACCCCCTCTCAATATCCGACACCCTTCCACTCTCAGAACTCAATCTCCATCCTATTATTTTGCCCATCTCAGCTTAGGCTGCTTTAAAAACGCCCAACTCATAGTCTTGTACCCCCTTTCAATATCCGACACATTCCCACTCTCACGCCTGCATCTTCATCCTATTATCTTGCCCACCTCACCTTAGGCTGTTTAAAAAACGCCCAACTTTTATTCTTGTACCCCCTCTCAATATCCGACACCCTTCCACTCTCACAACTCCATCTCCATCCTATTATTTTGCCCATCTCAGCTTAGGCTGCTTTAAAAACGCCCAACTCCTATTCTTGTACCCCCTTTCAATATCCGACACACTCCGACTTTATTTTGTACCCACTTCTCACATCCAACACCAACGTCAGTCTTCCAAATCCATTCACAATCAAATATTTTGTCCACCTCATCTTCTACCCTTTCCAAAAACCCCAACTTATACTATTGTCCCATAGACAACCCGCAACCTCATCACTACAACCACTTATTCTATATCTTATAATTTTGCCTATCTGCTATCCCGCTACTACACAACATGTCTTTAATTTTGTCTGAAGAGGAAATGGACATGCTTGTTGCTGACATCGATGTCGATAACATGGATTTTGGTTCTTTCGACATTCCGCTGGTCGAGAAGGTCCCACCGTGCGTCGTCTTACTTAACAGGGTTGAGGACCCAGCACCGCAACAAGTACCACCTGTGGCACAGCCACAGGTGCGAGCTTGCACAGGAAGGATGGAAAGGTTGGTCCAGCCAGCACTCGCACCTGTGCCACAGGCACCTGAAGCACCTGCAGTGCCACAGATGGCACTCAATGACTGCTATGTACGCCTGGAAAGAATAGAGCGAAACGGACGAAATTTTCGCCCAGAGGGCTCTTTTTTTACGAGTTACCCCTTAGGAACCCACAAAAAAATATTTGATAAAAATTCATTTTGCGACCTGTAGTTTTTGATTTTTTTAAAAGCCAATTTTTGAGCTAGAATGCTCATCTTCGAACTCGATCTGTCTTTTT